TACTCAGGTTTTAACCCACAGTCTGGACCATGTCAGTGAAGTTTTAACTAGTGGTTGATAATATGATACTCAGGTTTTAACCCACAGTCTGGACCATGTCAGTGAAGTTTTAACTAGTGGTTGATAATATGTTAGTCAGGTTTTAACCCACAGTCTGGACCATGTCAGTGAAGTTTTAACTAGTGGTTGATAATATGTTAGTCAGGTTTTAACCCACAGTCTGGACCATGTCAGCGAAGTTTTAACTAGTGGTCGATAATATGTTAGTCAGGTTTTAACCCACAGTCTGGACCATGTCAGTGAAGTTTTAACTAGTGGTTGATAATATGTTAGTCAGGTTTTAACCCACAGTCTGAACCATGTCAGTGAAGTTTTCATTAGTGGTCGATAATATGTTAGTCCGGTTTTAACCCACAGTCTGAACCATTTCAGTGAAGTTTTAACTAGTGGTCGATAATACGTTATTCAGGTTTTAACCCACAGTTGGGAAGATGCTGGTCAAGTTTTAACTAACAGTCGTTAAGTCAGGAAGAGTATTGAGTTGGATATAAATTAAAAACAGAAATAGTTAACCTTATTTATCAAAACCTATTCACATATCAAAAATTTTAGATTGATTTGTTCGCTTTGAATTTCACGGAAAGCTATACGAGGGCTAGATGTGCTCGTCGCCCATAATTTAGCAGTGAAACACTAGAGGGAATACGCCACCTATCGCCAACTCTTTTATCAACGAATAGTGGGATTGACCATCACTTATAACGCCCCCCACTGCTGAAAGGGGGAGCATGTTCGATGATGAGGATTCGAACGCGTGACCCTCAGATTGTGAGTCGAGCTCCTTAACCACCAGGCCATGCCAGGTCCCAACGACTTAGAACTAAACGTATTTCATGTTAAATATATTGATAACTTTCAGTAGGGGTAAAAGAGAGTTTGGAATAGCGGAAGATCAGAGGCAGAAGTATGGATGTCGAACAGTTTTAATCATGTCCAATTACTCTGAAGATTTGTTTGTAGTTAAACACAAAGCTACACAAAGGGCTATCTGTGCCCTGCCCACCACGGGTATCGAAACCCGTATTCTAGCGTTGTAAGTTCGCAGACATACCGCTGTGACACTGGGAGGGGGACAGAAGTTTGGATGTCGAACAGTTTTGATCATGTCCAATTACACTAAAGATTTGTTTGTAGTTAAGCACAAAGCTACACAAAGGGCTATCTGTGCCCTGCCCACCACGGGTATCGAAACCCGGATTCTAGCGTTGTAAATTCGCAGACATACTGCTATGCCACTGGGGGGGGGGGGCAGAAGTATGGATGTCGAAAAGTTTTAATCATGTCCAATTACAGTAAAGATTTGTTTGTAGTTAAGCAGGAAGGACTATCTGTGCTCTGCCCACCACGGGTATCGAAACCCGGTTTCTAGTTGTGTATGACAAGTAACATTATACTTTATCTCAAGATTTGTGTGGCCATATTTTTCCCCGAACCCGCTTGGTGTTGTTTCTTCATTAGTTATCATTTTCGCTAATGTATTTTCGATTAAATAAGATAAGATTTACCAAAAATAATTATAACTAGACATCCTTATAATTTTTGCGATTTTAATTAGATGAGAAATGGAAGGCATGGGTCAGCAAACATAGATTTTTTTTTAAAACTCCTCAAAATGCCAAGAAAGGCTCCCGCAAATCTTCGCACGACTGACTGAGTAATTAATTCATTTTATTGATCCTTTAAGAAAAAAATTTCGGCGACAGAAATGGTCACTAATTTATTCTAAGTTTCTCCCCAAAGAAAGTCTGTATTAGGTTCTACTGGCAAGATGTCTTTATTCATTCAAAGAGGCCAGGTAACCTATATTAGGCCTAACGTTATCATTATCTGTTCGGAATTTTATTAATTTTTCGAAAGTATTCGTATATTGTTCGGGAATATCAGTAACTGTTCTGGAGTATTTAGGCCTAATAATTGTTTGGAAGTTTCGTTAAGTGATCTGGAGTAACCATTAACTGTTAGTTTGTTTGTTGAATTTCTCGCAAAGTTACACGAGGACTATCTGCGCTAGCCGTCCCTAATTTTGGATTAATAGACTAGAGGAATCTAGTCAACACAACTCACCGCCAACTCTTGGGTTACTCTTTACCAACAAATAATGAAATTGACCGTCACATTATAATACCCCTACGGCCAAAAGGACAAGCATATTCGACGAGATGTTTCGATCCCGTGACCCACAGATTGCGAGTCGAGCACCCTAACTATCAGGACATGCCAGGCCATTAAGCGTTGGAGATTATTCGTTAACTGCTTGGGTGTATTGTTAAGTGTTCGGAAGTATTGTTATTTATTCGGGAGTATAATTAAACTACATATGAGTATTAACTGTTCAGGAGATTTGCTAACTGTTCGGAAGTATTGTTGTTTTTTAGGTATCCAGTTTTTTTACTAACATAGCAGAATTGCTCTCTTATTTCTACAGTATGAAAGCGGTAACCATCACAAAAACTGAAGACATACGTCATGAATACACTCCACCAATCAGAACCAAGGATAAACAACCAATCACAACAAATTTCCAAACGTCGTCCTCTACACTTTCCACTTTACTCATCATGGAATAGTCGACCTAATCAATCTATAAAAAGAGCAAATGTACAACGTTTCGACAAGGTTTTGATGACGACAAAACCTTGTCGAAACGTTGTACATTTGCTGTTGTGTTAAACTTATATTAAAGTTTTTCTTCATTACCCATTCAAGCCGTCTACAGCCATTATTAGTCTCAAAGTTGGTTCCTCGTCATCGAATATGGTCCATTTGAAGGATGAACTCTCTACCATACAAGAAGTGGAAGTAATATCTAATATAGTTACAGCTGCAAGTAGTTTTTATTATATCATACAGTGTCAGCATTCAGGTAAGCTCAGCATATGCAGTCATGCACTCCACTCTGTCCTACACCTGTAACAAGATTGTGCTATCTACATCCAGGATGAACAATCTTGATGAGGATATGCCAACACTGGTGCTTAAAACATCTCTCTCATTGCAGCCCTCTCAGAATAAGTTACATCAACTGTTCAGAACTTGTGGGGGGTATTTCAGATCAAATGGCATGATGTAGAATTAATACATTCTTCTTGAAAGATGAAATCACTCTTAAGTCTACTTTCATCATCCAGTTCCATTTGCCAATACCAAGAATTCAGGTCTAACATGCTAAACCAGCAGGTGCTTTTTAATGTATCTAGAAATTTGTCTACTTATTGTAAAGGAAATGTGTTGATGTGCATCGCCAAGTTTCAACTGTCCAAAGTTCACACAAAGCTTTGACATTCCTTTCAACTGTCCAAAGTTCACACAAAGCTTTGACATTCCTTTCAACTGTCCAAGGTTCACACAAAGCTTTGACATTCCTTTCAACTGTCCAAGGTTCACACAAAGCTTTGACATTCCTTTCAACTGTCCAAAGTTCACACAAAGCTTTGACATTCCTTTCAGCTGTCCAAGGTTCACACAAAGCTTTGACATTCCTTCTATCTTTTTGACAACCACCACTGGAGACTATAAAGTGATCTACATTTTTTAGTGTACACAGAAAATATTCTGACCCAAAAGTTTACAGAGAAACTGGATTCTGTTGGCCATAATGTCAAAATAAACAGGACTTGATTTAATCAGAAAAATAACTGGAAATCTCTTTGTTTTAAGCTTTATACAAATATAAATACTGTAAGTCAGAAGGAAGAAAAGTAACGTTCATGTAATAAGCAATTATATTTTCTTACTTGGCATTTAAATCATGGTTACAATTTTCTGGCTTTACTAATTATTACATATATTTACTTTCACCTGATGTAAGAAAAACAAATAACTCTTCAGTTATACAAGTCTGCTTGGGTCTACTTGATGGCGCTGTCCACCATGGTAAACACCATGTGACATTCTTAAGTGCTTAGTCAAACTTTCTGGATGGCTGTAGACTTTTTCACAAAGAAAACAACGAGAAATGCTTCTTTCTCCATGAAGGATCCTCACGTGTCTCCTCATAGCTGAAGAACAGGAAAATTCTGTTTGACAAAACGGGCAACTTGTTCGTTTACCTGTGGATAAATGAAGAAATAATCATATAAAAGTAATGAAAGAAGAGTTTTGTTTTCCACCCTTCATAATCACATCAAATTAATGAAAAAAATGATTTTTTTAATGCTAATCCTTCCCTTTTGGGTCTCGTTATTTTTATTTCATGCTTGATTCAAAACCTCTGGGAGCAGAAAAAGGTTCTGATTTGGAAACGGCACTATTTAATATACATATATCACTACGCTGAATTTTAGATACACACAGCTACATAATATAACAGTTAATGAAACCATAAGTATCCACAAAATAAAATATACTGTGGATTTCCTACAGTGTTTGTTTTTGTGTTAAATAACTGAATACACTGTAACATGCAATTTTGAACTAATAAAATTAAACCTCTACTAATAAGTACTACTTTTCAAAATGTAAATAAATCTTAAAAACAAGTAATTGTTCAATTAAAGTCCCATTTTTTACACCAGTGTTTTTTAAACTCTAGGGGTGTTGTGTAATTTCGGTAAAATATTGTAAACAAATGTATATATAAATTACTACATCACATATTTGAAAAGTTTTATGTGTACTAAAAGAAAAATTAAAGCTCCCATATTTCATATACCCCCCCCCCCCCGACATGCCACTGTCAACTGGTTCGCAAAGTGTTAAGGGTGATGTGGAAATTGTAGACTACGTATAGGAGTGTCTTGAGCACAAATAGGTTGACAAACTCTGCTTTAAACTCTAGTTTCAGGCCTGTAGGACTAACCATCATACTACGTCAAACCTTGGCTTCCGCTTTACAAAACTACTGTTCAATTCCTGGCTTCACAGCTACGTGACCAACCATTTGCATATGTATAGGCTCAGAACTGAAAAACTAACAGAATTCTTTCTTCAAACCTTGATTCTGTTTCTGTATAACTAACAGCACAAGATCTTTAATCCTGGTTTAAAAGGTATAGGATGATACTGCATCTCTAATTCTAGTTTCAGGTCGGTAACATACATTTTCTTAGGTATACTTAGATACAAAATTACAATAAATATTTGTTTCAGATATCCAAACAAGGGCTACCTACATTAATTATCTATAATTTTTAACCTAAAAGAGAGAGGAGCTGGTCAAGAATACTCACAGCCAACTCTTGGGCTACTGTAATGAAATAGTGAACTTTGACCATAACCTTTATACCATGCACCTATAGTCCCACAATGAGAAATGTGATTTTTCTTTTATATAAATTAATCAATAAAAAATGTAATGTTATATCTAATAGTTTTAAAACATTAAAAATATTTCCCAATTTTCAAGGCTGTGTCCTGTTCCTGCATTATATGATTAGATTCGTATACTCAAGTTTTGTACAAAATCCAGTGAAACAAATTTCAGCTGTACACTTTCCTCTGTGATTTTTCTTAAAACCAAAATTATGTAATGAAACATTGTTTTGTTGAATAACTTTCATTTACAGAATATTCACACACAACAAATTCATTTTATAAACAATGGTAGTTTTCATATTTAGACACTTTTCCTTGTAGTATAACTATTATTTGTTTACTGTGTATTGTATTTAAACTATGACAGGTATTAGATCAAAAAAACTATTTCTACAAGTGCAGTATAAAAAAAAATTTGCTTTTAAAAATTATCAAGTAACAGTTTATTGCAATCATTAGATTTCATTAGGTTTCTGTTTGGTTGTTTTTAGTACAAAGTTACACAATAAGTATCTGTACTCTTTAGAACATGGGGAATTGATCCCCAGATTGTACCACTGATCCATGAGGGGATGATTTTACTAAGAAATAATAATAAGAATGCTTTAGAAATTAAAAAAAAACTCTTATAATCTAATTTAAATACAATGATGAAACTTACTGCTACTATTACTATTTTTCTATTAATGGTAAAAAATCCAAGAAACATTTTATTAGTTTCAAAAACTTTGAGAGCTGAACACTTATGATGATGTTTCTAAACTGCTAGTTTAAAATATAAACTAACATTGGAACTAACTGAAAATCAATAACAAAAAAAACATAAAAATTAATTAATGATGCTTTTAAAGCTGCATGAATTATCAGTCCTAAATTTTTTTAGACCAAGGCTTTTCTATATTGGATTCAAGATCACGTATTTAAAAAACATATTTAAATTATAACAACCTACAGAAAGAAGAGGGTTGTTATAATTATAAAAATATTTTATTGAGCACAGAACTGAAATTAATAAATTCTTATCATAATACAGTCAAAAAACTTACTCACCTAGTGTACTAGCATTGTTTAACCATGAAAAATTTGTAACAGGTTATTTTAGATGTAAAGGCCACAGACATAATTCTTTGGGAAACTTTTATTAATGGTCATTTTGAAGTCTACATTTACAAGAATAATTAGTATCTCAAACTACACAATTTTGCTCATCTAGAAATAGCTTGTGCGAAGATGGTGCCCAAATATTTGATGCACTGTTCGTCTATGCTTGGAATAACTTTCTGGGTGATGATAGACTTTTCCACAGAGCGAACATTCAAAAACTTGCTTCTTTCCATGAACAGTTCGTTTATGTCTATTCAATCCCGAAGCCCACGCAAACTCTTCATTACAAAGGTGACAAATGAACTTGCCTCCTACGAGTGGATGAGGAGGATAAACATAAATCTTTTGCTCGGTCATCGTTAATGACTTTAGTAACTGTAACATACACAACTTGTAAGTACCAAACTATAGTTATGGCAATTAATCAATACAGAGGACTGCTATGTATATTGTATTGTAACCTTAAATATATAACATACATTTATATTAAATTTTACTTCAAAAAGAATTATAGATACAAATTTATAAAACAAACTTCACATTACATGATACACTGACACCTTTTACTAACAGAGTAAAATTATTATTTTTTTTTTATTTTCTGTACATACGGTTTGTAGCTTAAGTTCTTAACAACTGAGAAACAATTAACAATGAGAAAACTTACACTGGTGTAGAAATATTGGTCATTCAAGTAAAACAATCACTTAAACAAAATGGGAAGAAATGAGTAAATAACAAACTTTTAGTTAATACAAAATAAGAATAATTTTTTTTCCTGCATAAAAGGTCTAAAAATATGGTTCACTTTATAGCTAAATGACCTTAGCCCAGATAACTGAGTAACTTGCAAGAAAGACACTGAAGAATAAAAAGAATTGAATAAAATATCTAACCCATCTTTCACTGGAGCCATCAAAAGTAAGGATGACTAGACATATTTTTAAGTTGAAGATGTTAAGAACAGATTGGTGGAGCATGTAAATTTTATAATGACGTAAAAAAAAATGGTAGAACCAATTAACAATGGTTTATCAATTATGGAAAGGGAGTTACTGAAAGTTATTAGAAGTTTAAAAATTTGAAACGTTTGTGGCACAGACAAGATTCCAGCACAATATTTAGGGGACATGAAAATTCTAGGAATTAAAAATGCAACTTGTAACTTGTTTTATAGAGGATAGACTTTAAAATGTCTGTTTTTTGTGTCAATTCCAAAGAAACCTGAAGTTATGGAGTGTGGCTAATACAAAATTATCAGCTTGATCAGAGAAACGTGATTGAGAATGAGCTGTAAGAAGATCAGAATGGTTTTAAAAGAGGTCAGGTAATGTGATAGAGCATATTCAGTCTTAGGATGTTAAATGAAAGAGCCACAAAAGTGCAAAGAAATCTTTAGGTATGATTAACAGACTTTGAAAAAGCTTTGACAAGGTTAACCATGAGAAGTTAATGGAGATCAGGCCGCAGATTAGGGAGATATCAAAATGATGAAGAATTTATATTGGATTAATTGACAGAGAATTAAGTAGTTGGTTTTCCATAAGGTATAAAACAAGGATGTGTGTGCTATCACTGACATTATATAATTTGTATGCCTAGTAGTTGAGGAAAGAGGTAATTATTAATACAGGATGAATCAATGTTAACAAAACCAGAATTTCTGTAATAATAGATGATTATACAGCATTTGCAGACGAATCTGAAGAAGACACACAATTGTTACTTAATTGGCTTATTGATAACAGGAAAGACTATGGACTTGGAATAATCATCAACAAAATTAAGACGAGAATTTCATGATCTGAAAAAGATTGCAGAATATGCATCAAAGTAGAAGGTAAAAAGATTTGAAACAAGTAGAGAAGGGATGATAAATGACAGTTGAAGAAAAAGACTACTAAAATATCATCAGTCCTAATCTATAGGGTTGAAATAAGGTGTTATAGCAATTGTTCAAGTTTTTCTTTTTCTCAATAGTTTACTAATTAAAAGAAACTGACAAAAGACTGACTTATTGCCAGGCAACAAAAATACTGTTTAATTATCAGATCAATAACATACTCTTAAAGCAGTAAAAGTGTTTTGAAATTCTCCAGAATCTTTAATTTGGGGTTAATTTTGAAAAACAATGTGTGAAATATACATAAGTAATAAAAATTTACTTCTGTTTGTTGAATCTCACTCAAAGCTACTCGTGGGTGAACTGCACGAGCAATCCCAAATTTTGAAGTGAGAGACTATTACATTTTAATGCCCCCACAGCTGAATGGATGAGCATGCTTGATGATGGATTTCTATCCCGCAACCTGCAGACTGCGAGTGAAATGTCCTTACCAGCAAGCCATGCCAAGCCCAGTTAAAATTTAAAAGCAGAATTTATTCACTAAGTTATTCAAAAGTGTCATTAGTATAACAAAAAATTTGTTTTATCAGTTAGAAATAAAAGTTTATATACAAAGGAAAAAATATTTTAGTTCTGATATCAAAGTAACACAGTAGCCCACTTAAGTGATTTTGAAGAATCATAAATACTTAACAGTAGATTACAAAATTATCTTAAATGATAAAAATCCATTTTCCATGTCCTTTTTGTTTTAATAAATCTAAATTTTAGCATTACAACAACAATCATATATCCTATCAAAATTATTAATAACTAGAGATGTAACAAAATCCTCAACTTTCATTGTATGAGGTCATTATTAATCACACGTTTAATGGTGAAATTCTAGATAACGACATGATTACACAATTTGTTTGACGCATACACAAGTTCAGCTAGGAAATAATATTACTAATCGGGAAATAATCTTTCATTAACGCTTTTAAGCTTGTGTACAAATCATAAAAATATCCTCAATGCACAAAAATTTTGTTGTCCACAAATATTATATTTTCTACCTACATCAAGACACTAGTAGCATCATTATAAAATCTGTAAAAGGCAGGTGAATAATGCAGATCATTCATAGGTTCTTGCTTACATGATATATTAATATAAGATACAAACAATTTGAGAAAAAACCAACAACAAAAAGATGATACACTGTACTAAGTTACTAGAGTTGTAAAAAATTAACAAGAGAAACTCTTGAAATTTACTGACACATGCATGTTTTCACAATCAGGCATTTCACAGTCAGAGTTTTAGTTTTTTCTATTGAGAAGCGAGTGATTCTTTCTGTTAATAAGGGAAATTGTGTTCTCCTCAATTACAGAACTTAGTAGTAATTTCATATTTAAATTTTTTTTTTTACTCCAAATATATTTTATTTTTATGAAACTTAAACTTTTGTTTCTTAAGTTCTGAAAATCAAAGCAGTATAATGTGTTGTTACTTTCTGAAGTTACTTTATTATACTGAATTCTTTCAGTTTTTTTTTCTTTTTTTGGGGTGTGTGTATGTAATTTAAAATTGGTTAGCCATATTTCTTTCTCCCATCAATTATATATAAGCATATTATATATCTAAACATCTGCAATGTTCAATTAGTTAGATATTTTGGTGTCTAGATACTACAAATAGATACTTTTCATGAATCTCTTGTCCATACGGATACAATATTTTCCCAATGTAACAGGTATGGTGCCAACTAGTCTACTGGAACTTTCTTCTAGCTTCTAAGCATAGTAGCATGTTTTGCAGTAATAACCCCCTTCTGTGATTTGCCCAAAATAATTCGGGTGCCATGATCCCTTGAAAAACATATTTGCCCAAGTTAATCTGGGAAAACAATTTCTCAACATATTTTAAATTATTTGTCCAAATTGATTTGCATTAAAGCCTAACACAGAAAGGGGTTAAAGAGTGGGAGCCCTGCTTGTCGTAATACACAGTCATCATGTATTTTAAATAAGCACAATTCAAATAACAATCTTAGTGGGTGATCAGGTGTGTAAAGCATTGTGTCACACCACCAGGTGCCACATTCCCTTAAAGGGCTTATAATGGCCACTCACTCATGTGGAACTGTATATTGTTGTGTAAATCTAAATCCTTATGATCTTTCAGAAAAACAATGACAAAGTAACTAGTTTAATACTACAGTAAAATGAAATGGTGGCTCATGTATGTGGCCCATATTCAATAAATATGGCCACATGTGCTATCCGATTCTAAAATATCCAAAATCGAATCAAAACTACTATTTGTCTCATCTTTATCTAGATATTATTCAAATACTTTATATACATTTTGTAATTATTGTTAAACTTCAAAATGTAATTTGCATATCAGTTCAGTTAATCAGCAAATGTAATACATTTATTACATTATTAGATGGTTTGTTTTTGTTTCTTGGCCAAAGATGCACAATGAGCTACCTGCTTCTGTTCTCCACAAGGACTGTGGAAGCTTACCTCCGTGCCACTAGGTGGACAAATTAGTACTTGAAATTCATTATTTTGGTATCTTTGTTTGCAAACAAATCTACAAACAGTATACAAAAACTACACAACACATAAATACAGATGACATATATTAGCAGAGATAAAGCAATTTCTAATACTAGAATATTAGAAAAATTAACTTTTTACTAAACTAAATTTCAAACTCATCATAACACTCAAACTAAAATTATCTAATCAATTTAAAAGCATAATTTGTTGAGATTGAACAAACTGACTTGACAAAACCATTCCACTGGAACACATACTGCTTGTTCGTTCAGCTGTTGATGAGCAGTTTCACACTATTCC